GAAGAAGAAGCTGATGAGGAAGAACAAGATGAAGAAGAAAGCAACGGAAAAAATAATAAAGAAGAAAATGACAATGACGAAGAAGAAGATAATGACGAAGAGGAAGATAATGAGGAAGAAGAGGCTAACGAAGAAGAAGAACATGAAGAAGAAAAAAATAATAACGAAAAATCTAGTAAAAAATCCAAACGTCGTAATTAAGCAATCAGTTATTCACTTTATAGATTTAATATAGAACTTTATTTTCATCTAACATTCATTTGCACAATTTTACTAATCAAACATTCTTCGGTGTTATATTCATATTTTCTTTTCTAATATCATCATCACTATACTAACAGAGAAAAAAAGCACATTTTTTTTCTCCCATCGTAGGTAGATAGAGTTATTTGTATGTTTTTTTTTTACTAATTATCTGTGTCATTTTGTTTCAAGTGATATTTTTTCTTTTCGATATCTCGACTAAGTATGTTTTTGACGAAAATTAATTTCTTTTAGGATATTCTCCTTGTGTTTTTTTTTATTTAAAAACGAAACAAACAAAAAATATTGTCTTAATTTTCTTCATCAAATTGTTCTTCACCAGGAATTTCTAAATTAGTATCAAACAAAAACAACAACAGGTGAATAGAGAAAATTTTATATTCATTTACCATCATTCATTTGTTCATTTCCATCAAACGTATCATCATTTTCAGGATTCTCGTTTTCTATACATATTCATATATTATTAAGACAATGATAAAAAATATTCTTACCAGGAACAACGTGCATTTTTTGTAATGCTTCTTGTTCTATAAGAATTAAAAAAAAAGAAAATGCAAAAATTTTAGCGTAGTATTAAACCTTCTTGACTATTTAACTGTTTATTTTTGAATTTATCAACTAATTCTTTAGATCAAGTGTTAAAAATGAATAATTAAGAATATAAAAATAGATTACCTTGTATTCTATTTACATCAATTTGTTCATCATCATCGAAATCATATGGTTCTTTTTGTTTAATTGCAGTAACATCTCGTGCGATCCATTTATATTGTATTTGAGGTGGAACTTCAGAATCTTCTTCATCATTCTAAATAATTTTATTTTGCATATTCATTATCAATGAAAAACTTTTCTTACTATTGATGTGATATAATATTCACCATTTTGTTGATATCCATTTTTAAACACAAATCTGCCTTTACCTTTTGGCTGCAAAATATACGAAAATTATTTTATTAGCAATTAGAAATTTTTCTATTATTAGATTATAGATCTTATTGTAATCATAAAAGGTCATAGTATATATGTAAACAAGCTAAATAAGTGACATTTTACAACTTAATTCTTTTTTTATTATAGACAAAAACACACACATTTATCATCGACTGATCTAAAACTTTGAATATCTAATTGATGAGTTCATTAGATAAAAAACTCGACCTTATAGTTTCATTAATTGATATTGATATATGTTGATATTATCTAATTCAACAATCTACAAGAGATTTGTTTATATATTTTAATGCTTATGGCATTGATAGGACCTTCACCAAACTAATGAAATATTTAATTGTTAAAGTGCAGACACTAAACCTACAATGTGAAGATTCAAGCGCTTTTAATTATTTTTTTTATAATAAAACAAAAACCTAACCTTTCGTCTCATCAACAAAAACATAGCCTTCACAAAGGTCATCTTTATTACTGCCTTTAAATGAGTAGTTATTTTTGTTTACAAACAGGAAATGAATCTTTATAAAAATAATAGATTCAAATGAATTTTTACAGCTGTCAGTTGTTTATTTACTATAGTTCAGTATATAATATTCGTTTTTCTCAGCAAGAAATTTTGATAATTAAAATAATGAGTATAACTAAATTATTTGATTAAGCACTGAAACTTTATCATTAATGATTGGACTAATTTTGTCGGAAAAAAAATATTTTTGATGGAAATTAGATAAGATGAATAATAACCTTGTGTAAACTTATTAATTACTTGAATATTTATACAACAGTAGAAAAAGAATTTACTAAACAACATATTATGAATATTTTCATTAGAAATTCTTTTTTCGTCTTGTATAGACTAATTGGTACAGTAAATGTCGATACATTTGGAAGAATTTACAGATCTGTCCTATATGTATAGAACTGATTGCATGTCTCGGAATCAGATAGATTTCCTATGTTTTTTAATTATACTTTACATAAGAAAAAACTGATAAACAATTCTGCCCTTATTATCCAATATATCTTTAAAATCTAGCATTTCCTCAATAATCATAAAAGTTTTGATAATCACTTGGAAAATAACTTACATAATTGTCATGGAATTTTCCAATATATTTATATTGATTAAATTCCAATTCACCTGGCCCTTGACGTTTTCCTTCTTTCCACGTACCAATATATTGTGCTTCTATTTAAGAAGAAAACATATTATTCTTTCAATTATAATATTCACTACATACTTGTAGATGCATATGTATAAGTTCCTTTTCCATGTCTTTGATGATTTTTCCATTCACCCTCATATGTATCATTATTTGGATATGTATATATTCCATGACCTTCACGTATATTTTCATTCCATTCACCATCATATTTTGAACCATCTGTATAATAAAATATTCCTCGTCCATGTCGTTTATTTTTTTGATAATCACCTTTTAGTGTAAAAAAGAAAAATAAAGAAACAATTCTATGAAAATATTTCTATGAACCTATATAACGAGCACCGACGGAAAATCGATAAGTTCCAGTTCCATTTCTTTTTCCATTTTCATATTGTCCTTCATATGTATCTCCATTAGGTAATGTTGCTTTACCAAAACCATGACGTTCATTGCTTTCATTACGTTCACCTTCATAAGTCTTTTTAAAAAAATATTATTAAATAAACAAATAAATATTTTTCATACGCCTAAATTATTTGTTTGTTCTTCTTCACCTAATTCATCTTCATCGTCAGACATGGTTTCTTAATTAAGTAAATCTAGTAAATAGAAGTCATAAAATCTATTGCCCGCCATTAACATCAATAATAATCTTAACAACATGACTGGTTACTATGACATTGAAATGAGTAGAGGCAATAACATAGAGAGAACGCAAGAAATGGATGAATTTATTTGAAAAGAATACTTATAGTTAATATAATGTCAGAGGTACTTTTATATTGTTTACTTAAAAAAGAAGAAATAATATTTTCATTACCTTTAGGCATATACATTTCGTCCTGGCGGTTATGTTACGAAAGATTTTAACTTACAATCACCATACATCTTTGTAATTGTACTTAGTAGTGTTATTTTACTCTTGATTATTATTATAATTATTCGAGAGATGTTAAAGGTAGAGAAAAAAAAGCAATAATTGAAAAAAATAATTGATGGTTGACTTTTTTATTTTTATTTTTTAAAAGTCTCGGGGTATGTTTCAAGATTGTTGCAGTTGGAAAGGAAGTTGTTGTGAATGTATAACTTGTCAGGAATGTTGTGTATCATGTGCTGAAACATGTGATTGTTGTAATACAACATCAATTGAATCATGTCTTGATGCATGTTGTCCAAAACGAGGCGTATGTTTAAGAGAATATTAAATAAACATATCAATTCATTTTTTGTTATTTTATGTATAGTCAATTGAATTTGCAGATATTATTACATGCGAAGCATGTTGCTCTGGACAATGTTGCGAGGTAAATGAAAGAGTTTTTTTTTGATTTTTTTATTGAATTTATAAATTATATCTAGTGTTGCGGTACGGCTTGTATTTGTGCACCAACTGATGTTAGTAATGTTAACTGTTTATGCTGTGCATGCCAACAACAATATCCCCAATGGGAACATGAAGATAGATAGATCTATTATACATGCAATAATGAATTAGACTTCTTATAATTGTATCATTTTTTATATTGTTGTGCCTTTTTGTAGTTTCAATTATATAAATAAATTGAAAAATTTTCTTTTTTTTTCTATCTTCAGATATAATTATGAGTTCATCTATGGAAGAATATTTTCGAACAGCTTTGAGTAAAGAACTTGCAATGTAAGATCGAAAAAATGATCTATAAATAATAATAATAATAGTTTATTTTCTATTAAAGTGCACCACCTGAGCGTGACCATGAACATTTATCATCAACATCACGATTATTAGAAAAACAACGTGAAGTAACTGAAACAGAGGCATTATTAGCTAATCAAAAAGAAGTATTTATTTTATCGAAAAAAACATTTTCTTTAATCAATTTCTTTTAATAATCAATTAGGAATTTAAATTAAAAATGCAAAGTTTAAAACTACGTCGTGAAAAATTAAATACAAAGGAACATGAATTACGTGAAAGTTTGGTTAATTTTGAAAAATATATTAATGTATAATCATTTCTTTTAATTAAAATATTATATGAAAAGAGTAATTATTTAGGAACTTGATTCGAAACGAGTGCGTGCATTAAAACGAGCATTAGATGAACGTGAACTTGCAGCAGTAAAACAAAAAGAAATTGATAAATTACAAGATGATATTGAGAATTTAAAACAAAAACGAGAAGAATTTTTAGCACGTAATGCTAAATATGCCAAACATAATACATATCTTGAAAAAGTAATGTTAAATATTTGATTTTCTTTATCTCAATAATTTATTTTTAGACTGTTGAAACAGCTGATGAATTTCAAGCAGTTCAAGAATTAATCGATCGTTATACAACATTAAAAATAAATAAAGATGTATGAGAATATTTCATTTTATTGAAAAAAAACAATATTTCAAAAAATAATATATTTTAGTCTTTATTGGAAATTCAAAATCATCGTGAAGAACAATTAGAAAAATTACGCAAAGAACGGGAAGCATTCTTACAAGTATATTGAAATCTTTTATTTTATTTTAATCGATTCACATCTATTTGTATAGAAAAAGAATAATGAAAGTTTAACATTAAATAATCGTATTGGTGATTTACAACATGAACTTGAACGAGCTGAAATTGCAGCTCGACGTGCTGAAAATGAATGGAGTTTTATTCAAACAACAGCAGCAGAAAAATCATTACAACTTGGAAATGTTATTCTGTAAAATAAGATAAAAGAATTTTCTATTGAATCATTATTTTTATTGTTATAGAGCTGTGCGTAATTTATATCAACTTGTCATTCGGCAACAAAAAGTTGACAAAGAAGAACGTGTTCTTGAAGCAGAAAATCCAATAAAACAAGTTCGACAACAACTAGAAAGAGTAGACAAAAACTTTTTTTTACTCGAAATTTTCTCATAATACTTTTTATGATATTTTAGGTCTCTACATTTGTTCATGATTTTACATCGATCACAGATGATATGAAACAGTCTGGTCAATTTAAAGCACGAATGAATTAAATAAAAATTTATTGATATCGAATCTTATTCTATGCACATAATTTTCAATTAAAACTTCTCACTATTTATAAATCTTGCTTAATAAAGAAAAAAATCAGATGCAATTCATTTTTTTTTATAACTTATTTAATTGAGGTGGGAAATCACTCATCCCTACATATATATGTTTAAGCAAATTTAATATGTGCTAAAATGTTTTAATACGATAAAAATGTCGGTCGTTCGAATGATTTCATGCATATAATCTTTTTTGAAACGATGATGTAATTTCTTTGAATAGACTACGAAGACGTACATACAAGACAGTACAATTACATAAATACAAAAAAAAATAATCTTCAATGAACGCCATTAGATATATACTCATTGTTTCTACATCAGTATCATTATATAATAGACATGATACAAACAAAACAATATTTTCATCATTCATCGAAGTTAGTAGTAAATGCATATATAAACATGCACAAGAAAAAAAAGAAGAATAGCCTTGTTCTTTCATGACTATCAGTAGTGATGAGTGCGATATACAGGTGAGTGCTATTTGGTAACTGCTCTAATAAGAAGCTGTTAATAAGTGATTGATATCAACAACAATATTCTAACACCTCTGTTTCTTTTCTTCCTCTCTCTCTCTCATCTGAGATGATTGTTATTGAACAGTCGATATAACCCCATTTGTGCACTTGTCAATCATCATCATAATGAAAGAATTCAGATGGTGGAACGTTATATTATAACAGGTTCATTTACTAGATTGTTTTTTCAGTGGGTGAACTTCTTTCTATAATTTTCTTTTACTTTCACGTTCAAAAGGACACCGTCTGTCTATCACTAAATGTAGGTTTGATCACCGCATGTTCTCTGAATTTCCTAATTAGATAAGCTCGGGTCAAATGCATACATTTCTCTACACCCACTTGGATAGGACAGGTCAATTTTATCTTGACTAGAGAAAGAAAAAAGTAATTTTAGAGTGATCATGGCAGGTGAACATATCGAGTAGGTAGGACAACGAAGCATTTTGACGGGTTATTGAGCAAAGGCGTCAATGTATATGAATTAGATCATTGCATGCTTGATGAAACTGAGTCGAACATTGCATGTAGACAATGATGAGCGAATATCTTACGTACAAGATATTATATACATATACATATATCTATATATATACATATACCTGTCTACAATTTATGTTGATAGTTTATTCATTTGAACAACGTTTTTTCTTTCTTTGCTTATCAATATAAAATTGTTTCTAACAACAATCGATCTATTTATGAGAATAGAAAATTAGTCGTATTGATAATTATTTCTTTTCTGTTTGATGTTGATCAAAAAATAAACTTCTATTGTTATTCTTCTTACATAGAAACTAATGATGATCTATGAAACAAAACGTTTTTATGGTTCATATTCGATAAAGTAAGTTCAATTTTAATTGAAAATATTAAATTTAGCGATAAAGAAGACTAAGATAAATGTATACATCGTTGTAATACTTCTAATAGAAAATTAACATCATTATTCTTATTGTCTAGATCGACACGTACTTGTCATTAGTTATGTTCTCTCGTTTAGTTAAACATTGAATAGAATGTATATAAGAAATTTTGTCTCGTCAAGTCAAGTCACTAACTTGTTTTACCGATATACATGACCTTTAATGAATCAATGCAATCTCATATGTCATCTGTTATTATTAAGAGAGAAACTCAAGTACATAAACACATCGATACCAACTACTATTAACAACATAGATCCACCCACTCATGATAGGCTCTTTAGTCTATTATAATCAATAGAAGTTATCATAATTTTATGCCATATCTAAAACACCTCTCATCAAGGTCTACTATCGTTATTTTGTCGTTATATATATATATGCACATGTATACGAAACAAAGATTCCACTTGTATATATGTTGTGATACTTGCATACGCTTATATGCATGCTTTATTCATTATATAAGCGTTTCATACACATACATTATGTGTGCACCACTAGTGTTATTCTGTGAAGGACACTCACTATAACCTTCTCTTATGCTAAATATGTATATTGATGTATTATATATATATATATATACCCAGAACTGACGAGACATCTAAGTAAAGTAATTGTTCACGCTTTTAATACATTGGCCTTGAATGTAGACGATTTCTTTTCTCTGCTTATTAAATCAATGTCAGATAAATGTGTTATTGTTTATAATAATAATAATAATAATAATAATAACAACAAGTGCATTCTATTGATTTTATATATAGAAATGGACAATTCAATTTTGTCTTCAAGTAATTGACAAAACAATAGTCAATATTCTACGTGTAAGTTAAATGTTAAATCTACTATGTATATTTATAGTTTTTTTTTTCTCTAAATAGGTAACGAGCTTATATATATGTACAAAATGCACAAATAAATGACGGATTGTGAATTGTATCTGTATGACGAGTAGGCGAACGTTAAACAGGAAATATATGATGTATATAGAGAAAAACGTTAGTATACGTTTGTCAGGTTAGATCAATGTTATATAATTAAGAAAAAAA